ATGGACAGTCTTTTTTAAATCTGTCTGTGTCACAGATCACTCCACTTAAACTCAACTTAAATTCTCTCCTCCAATATTCCATAGTAATCTTGTTCTTCCTCTGTTTGGTGGGATACTATCTACTCGGGCGAGTGTTTTATTTTGTTGCAACTTAATAAACTTGGCTATGTTATACTTATTTCCTGATGGTGCTTTTTGCAGAAGGGTTTTATAAAAATACACATGCATGGAATTATGGAACGTATCTTTTGTTTTGTTTTTCCTTGTTTTTTAAGAACCCACCTACAATATCCATGTTGCAGTATGCAAATCCAAACCATTAATTTCAGTTTCTGAATAGAGATCCATCTTATAAACATATTTGCACTCCCACACTTCATATTGTTTTTATCCATTCTCCTAAGTGCTTCCAGTTCCTTTGTGCTCTAAAAATGCTGTCTCTCTACATGCCATTTCCTCTTATAGATCTGCTGGGGAATTTTCTGCTGTATGTATACTTTGAAATAGTCCTGCTATAATTTAAGATATACTGCCAGGATTTTACTAAATATATTGCCAGAATAGTATTTCCAATGTACATACTTGCCAGAACTTGGCATTATTTTTTGCTTTCCAGTGTTCTCCAACTAGATGGATATAAAATGGTTTTCTTTCTCTTCTGATTTGTATTTCTTTGAGCACAAGTGAAGCCAAGAATATTTCCTGTGTCAATTGTTATTTGTTGTTCCCCTCCCATAAAATACCTATTCACATACTCTCTCCCTTAGAAAAAAAAACAACTTTGTTTTCTGTCTTTATACTAATAAAGCTTAGAAGTCAGTCTGTGTATTGTTATAATTTATAGCTAAGCAAAACCAATTTATACTTAGCCAGAAATTAACCACAGTAGAATGATGTACAGTATGAAAGTGCAAAAGATAATCCATTACAATTGCATCATAATAGGTTCAGAGGAAGTTGGGAGAAATAAAAATGTGTCAGCTTGGAATCCTAGAAAAGAAATGATAGAAAAGAGAGACTATTGTCCAGGCTAAAGCAAGCAGCACAGACAAAGGCCTGAAGAAGGAAGAGATCAGCTTAGACAGAAGGTATGGTTGTGGTAGTGTTAATTAACTTTGAATAAAAAAGAGTTAATTGGTAGAGAACTAGTAGATCCCTGTGATAGTTAATGTTAGGAGTTAACTTGACAGGTTCACAGGGTACAAGGCAGTATGTAAGACCTTGCTTGCGAGTATGTCATTGAGGGGGTTTCTGGATGAGATCAGCATTTGAATTGGAGGACTGGCGAGCAAGAGTGGGCATCATGTAATATACGGAAGTAGATGGAGAAAGGAGAATTCCTGTTCCAGCTGGTACAATATTAGTCTTATACTGACTTAGACCAGAATCATTATGACATCTGCTTTCCTGGTCCTCTGGCCTTTGGAATCAGACTGGAATGATACCACCAGCTCTCTTGGGTCTCTCTCATGCAGATTGAAGATCGTAGGCCTTTCAGTCTTCACAACTGTGTAAGACAATTCCTAACAATAAATCCCTTAATCATGAATATTGAAATGTCATAAAGACCACTGAAATGTCTCTATATAATATTAAAACATTGAATGTCATGTGAAAGACTAAAATCTCTATATGCAATATTAAAATATGTAATAAGTCTTATATATAGCTATCAATTTTTGTTACCATAAGAAATTAGCTCTTGCAAGCACAGGATGATTACAATTTTCCATCTTCAAGCTGGAGACCAGGAAAACCAGTAGTGCAGCTTACTGGTTTTGTTTTTCTGAAGAATCTGAACTAATATAGCCCCCTGGGTAACATGATCAAAAGTGGGGGTTTCGGAAAGTTCTGATTTTCTTATGACAAAGGACTGAGAACAGATTGTAGGTAAGAAGTGAATCTTTATTTAGAATGAACAGAAAATATTTGCTAGGCATTAACATTGGGATTAACAAAGAAAGAACGATTAGAAAGGTTAACAAAAGGAAAAAAATTGACATGTAAGTAATGGAAGAGCTATTGATTATTCTTGTATTGAGGGTTGAACTCAGGGCCTCACATCTTAATAGACCAGCACTCTCCAACTTGAGCCACATCCCCAGTCCTCTTTTTTTTTTTTTTTTACAAAGAACAAAGAAAGGTTTATTTAGCGTATTTTTCTCTTCTTTTTCTTTCTTTCTTTCTTTTTTATTGTAAAAATACCTTACAGAGGGGTTACAATTACATGGGCAAGATAATGAGTACATTTCTTATCAAGCATTGTTGCCTCCTCCTTTGTTTCCTCTTCCCATCCCTTCCCATCTTCCCCCCCCTCCAAAGTTGTAAAGTTCATTTTTCGACATAACAACTTGTACATCTCATTGTTGCAATGGATCCAACTGTATCCCTATTTAAACGATTTGTTTTTTCCTTTCCCCTCCACAAATTATACCAACATCAAATACAGTGAGAACAGGGGTTATACCGTGGGAGAGGGACATACAAAGCAACAAAGAAATCATCTTATAAATATGTTAGAAACAATTGCATGAAAGAAAAAGCATTTGAATCTTTATCTTGGGGTTCATTTTGCCTAACATCAACTTATCTGACCTTTTCTGCTTGTCTCAGACATATACTAGTTATTGCAAATAAGGGAAACCATGGGACCTATGTTTCTTTGGGCCTGGCTTACTTCACTTAATATAATTTTTCCAAGTCTTTCCATTTCCTAACAAATGGCCAGCCCTCCTTTTTTTTGCTGGTTATTTTGGAGATGGAGTCTAGTGAACTTTCTTCCTTGGCTGGCCTTGAACCATGGTCCTTCAGATCTTAGCCTTCTGTATAGCTAGAATTGCAGGTAGGAGCCACTGGTACCTATATAAGTTCTTATACTATTTTAGTGTGTATATTGGGAATAAGAGGATGATGATAATATATAAGGATAATTTTGGAGGAAGTTTAAGCAATAGAAGAAGGTTGCAATGATGTTATAACTTTTATTTGAAGAAGTTATAGAATGTAAGGTGTTCAGGAGTTCATGAGTTTTATTTATTTTCTTTGTTAAACTTACTTTCTATGTTTTCTAATCACTCTTTCTACACAAAAATCCCATTCATTAAGTATTTGTCTATATTTCCTTTTGTAAAACTTGTCTTATTTTGTGATATTCAAACGCTGTATTAAAAATGGCAGCTTTAGAGCTGGAAAGGTGGCTCAGTGGTGGAGTGCTTGCCTTGCCTGCATGAGGCCCTGGGTTCGATTCCTCAGCTCCACATAAGAAGAAAAAGCTGGAAGTGGCGCTGTGGCTCAAGTGGTAGAACACTATCCTTGAGCTGAAGAGCTGAGGGACAGCACCCAGGCCCAGAGTTCAGGCCCCATGACCGAATTTTTTAAAAAAAGGCGCTTTATCTCCAAATGATATATATTGTTATATCCATTTGCACATGGTTTGCTGAATACCATGTTGTAGTCTCTTGGGCTAATATAATTTGTTAAAAATCCTTTCACAAAGCACTACTGCAGTGGCCATCTTCTGGGATTTGGAAATAGCCTTATTAAACAGACCTTGATGTTATACACTAATGGCATTTATTAAAATGGAATTCTATATGTATTATTACTTCCGACATCAGCTTGGCTTTTTTAGTCTCCTCACAGCATGCTGCTTTGGTAATTATGCTAATGCTAGCTGATTCATGAGGACAACTTCCTAAAATGCACTTAATTAACTTGGAGATTTTGTAAACAGCTGTACATGTAGGTTCCGCAAATCGTGGGGATATGTCAATCTGACATGTGTACAGTCTGCCTTTCTAACCTCATCACTTTTTTTAAAAAAAGCTAAAACTTAAAACAATATGAAGCTCCAATCTGGTTCCTTCTTAATGAAGCAAGTGCTTCAGCAAGTGTAGGAAGTGTCACTTTTATTATTATTATTATTCTGTTGGTACTGAGGTTTGAACTCAGTGCCCCTTTCTTGTTAGGCAACTGCTCTACTGTTTGAGCCACACTCCCAGTCCTTTGCGCTTTAGTTATTTTTCTGGAAGGGCCTTGTGTGTTGTCCAGGGCTAGCTCTGTGCTGCTGTCTTCCTATCTCTGCCTCCTGTGTAGCTGAGATTATAGAAAAATACCATTGGTCTTTTTTTGCTTTTGTCTACCTCAAACTGCTACTGTCCTACCTCTGCCCGCCAAGTATCTGGGATTACAGCTCCGAGATGGCACTTCAGCCAATGTGAAGGTGAGAGAGCATCTGATTCTGCCAGTCTGAGTCTGTTGGGCAAGAGGCGATAGGTAGATTTTTTTGTTTTTTAAGTTAAGAAAATTCTAACATGCATTTCATTGGGAAAAGAGTATAATTTTTCCATCATGTTTCTGCAATGTGATTTTGCCAATTTGTGGGTCTCGGTGACCAACATTGCTGTTTGGTGAACATCAGATTTCTTTTCAAAAGGCTTCATTTCTGTTTCCTTTCATTCTCAGCTACTATACTAGGAGATATTTTCCTGACTCATCATTCTCATTTAAATGGAAATCACTTGAATTTTAAACTTATTTAATATAAAATCCCATATCCCACTGCAGCTTATGAGGTGTTATTCTACCTAGGACGGTTTGCCAGAATAAACCATTCTATGCCAGAAATTAAACAATGTGCATTAATTTAGGTGAAAACTCAGGATAGTGGATTACATAAGCCAAGACCAAACTAATCAAAATGGGAAGAAGAGACATGATTATGAGGGAACAGAAGGAAAAAATAAAAACTACCATATATGATTGTAAGAAACAGCAGTTGCACAAAGATAATGACAGTGGAAAACAGGGTGTTTTAAGTAATCTCATTACCGTTGCATGAAAATGACATTTTCAGATAAGTCATAGAAGCTAACCTAGAGACTTGCCTGGAGTTTCTCAAGGAATCCAGCAAAGTTGGTTCCTTTTATTCTTGTAAATGACAGTTCTGGATACAATCTCTTTGGGAACTGGCAAGGTTACATCTAAAGAGAATCAAACATTTATTGCTCAGCCTTTTCCTTGACTTCAACAGTTAGAACCTCTTCCCCAACCTGGGTGGAAGGAGCCATGCTTATGATAAGTGATTGATGGGAAGTTCCTCTGGGTAAAACTGCCCTTCTAATCAATGGGGGCATTTCTTCTGCTGTAGGAGGACTTGCTCTACATTTGTCTCTGTCCATTGCTTTCTCTGCTAGCTCTCTTCCTTTATCTTCATATTCTTCACCTTTGCCCTCTCCTTTGGAATTTTCATTTTCTTTCTGGAAAAAAAAGCAGGCACAAAGAATTGGCATTGAAATTGCAATCAAAGATATTGGAGTCATGACCAGGACAAACACTGCTTGAGGGAAGTAAATGTGTCTGCTTTGCTTCCAACTGTCATTGGACTATGTTTACTGGTATGCTGGAGGAGGAAGCTGAGCTGTTTTGTGGGGTTGCAGTGTTAGTCTACATCACATTTTTCTCTAGCCCTGACAAGGGAGTCTGTTACTGTTGCTCCTTGTATTCCTATCATTATTAGATTCAGGACTTGAGAGACTTTGCTTTTACTTTTAATTTTTTTGCTTATTTCATCTATTTTATGGAGATGAAATAAATATTTTTTCTTTAAGTGGTTGTACAGAGGGGTTTCAATTCAACATGTCAACTTATAAGTATAATTTACCTTGATCGATGTCACTCCTTCCATCTTTCTCCCAACCTCAAGTTTGCTCATCCCCTCAAGTTACCAGTTCCATTTTCATATACAGTCATTGAATTTGGATATGAAATTTTTAGTATTTGTGTTTACTAAAATATTAACCAAATACTACATAAAATACCTGTTCTCTGTTCCTTACTGATAATGCTTGTAATTAACTTGCGAAAGGCTTGCCCAAAGTTTGATTCTTCACAGATAGAACTGAGATTTTTAAGTTGACACATTTACTTACATAGTTCTTTATCTTCATATGTCTGTTGTGTAGATGATTATTTCTGGGTTGATATCAATGAGATATTTGTCTTTCACTGTGTGTCTTTTTTTCACTACAGTTTGGATATGTAAAAATTAAAGAGGCAAACTTAAGTCTATTGAATAGGACTGACTGCATATTTACTCATTTTCTAAAAGGTCCATAGCTACTCATTCCTATTGTTGTAAAATAATGACTAAGTTCAAAAAAACCAACTTTCTGCTCTATTTCTCAATACCTTTATTTCTCTCATAGCTTTATTAGAAGAATCAAAGAAATCCAGAAACAAAAGAGAGGAAAAAACAATCACATTTGAGTACTTTTACATTTTTAGGAATCAGAGATGTAAGATGTAAGTCTGAACTCCGAGTAATCATTTTTTGCACTGTAGCTAATTATGATCTTACTTAATTTCTTTAGTCTGAATCTCAGCTTCTTCACCCATGACATGAAAGGCTTGTGTAAATATATAGGTATATTTCTGTCATTAATAATTTTGACATTTATTGATTATTTGTGAAAATGTTTACTGCAATATTGGCCACATAATGTCTTGAAATTTCTGTTTATATGGTTTAGCTGCATGTGTATTGTTGACTCTTACTCATGGTAATTCTGTGTTTTAAAAAAGTTTTTATTAAGTAGTTGTACAAAAAGTTTACCATTCCATACATAATTCTGTTTTATGAGGTGAAGTGAGCACTGGAATGGCAAATATGAACCATTGCTCCCAGAGGAGATACAGAGTTCATCCTGTGAGTCTTTGCCCTTGTGGTGGTTTTGGTTTTTTTTTTGCAGATCCTGGGTCTTGAACTCAGGGCTGGGTACTTTTCCTGTGCTTTTTTGTGTTCAAGGCTAGCACTATACCATTTGAGTCACAGCATTACCTCCAGCTTTGGTGGTTAATTGGAGATAAAAGTCTCACAGATTTTCCTTGAATCATCATCCTCAGATTTCAGCCTCATGAGTAGCTAGGATTACAGACATGAGCCAGAAGTGCCTGGCTAGGCCACATTTTGTTAAGGGATTAATACATAACTATGTTCATGTATGTTTCTATATACTTTTTTAAAATTGGTTTGATGAATTGTTGATTCCTTACACTAAGCTCATAGACAACAGCCTTATAACTAGTGCTGGAATAAAATTTATCCAATATACACATTTTCTGTGTAAGAAATACCAAAGTATTTTTGCACATAGGAACTTATGAACTTTAGTGCTATTTGGGGGGGCACTTTTTTCTTCTTGTTTTATTCTTCATCTTTAAAAAATTATCTTTAAGTAGTGTATAACAGAGTTGCCATTCACAAAAGCAGTTTACGAATACAATGCATCTTGAACACTGTCTCTCCTTTCAACATTCTCGCCCACCCCTCCCTTACCCACGCCTTCCCTCCTCTTCTTAACTTTCTAGTATGTACATTGCATTCTTGGTGGCATTTTCCTTGGGGGTAATTTTTAACAGCAAGATCACCAAAACATTTTTTTTCTTGTCCGTCATGGAGCTTGAACTCTGAGCCTGGATACTGTCCCTCAGCTCTTCAGTTCAAGGTGAGTGCTCTACCATTGGAGCCACAACCACTTCTGGTTTTCTGGTGGTTTATTGGAGATAAGAGTTTCAGTTTCACAGACCTTACTGCCTGGGCTGGCTTTGAACCATGATCCTCAGATCTCAGCCTCCTGATTACAGTCATGAGCCACTGGCCACTGACTAACATCACCAAAACATTTTTAAAAGCAAAAAATGAAATAAAAAATGAGCACAAAACAGATCACAAAAGGATCATTCCTTTGTAGTGTAGAGGTGAAACAAGAACTAGAGGCGCAAGAATTCTCCCTCACTTTGGAGTATATGTATCAGATAGATATTTTTTTCTCTTCTGCATATGAATTTGTTCATGAATGTCCACAAAATTATCAGGAGTGTTCATTTGTATATTACAAATATATTGAGTAAAGAGATTCACAAATAAAGGAGCCATAAATAAATTTGAGGGGTTGGGAAGGTGGCTCAGTGGTAGAGTACTTTCCTTGCATGCATGAGGCCCTGGGTTCGATTCCTCAGCACCACATAAGAAAAAAGAAAAAAGCCAGAAATGGTGCTGTGGCTCAAGTGGTAGAGCGCTAGCCTTGAGCTGAAGAGCTGAGGGACAGCGCCCAGGCCCAGAGTTCAGGTCCCACGACCAGACCCAAAAAAATAATAAAGTTTGGCAGAATTTGCATATATATGTATATATAAAGGTAATCTATGTACACTTGTGAGGATTTAGTGGGATGATATATGAAGATAAAGCTTCAATAGGGACACATATGAAGTAGTACTTATTAGCATTAGATTAGTCCGAATTATTCCAAATTCTGAAATGGAATTGGAATGGGAGCACATCTGTGCTCTGTCACTCTCTATCACAGCCCTCCACTTATTCCCTTATTACCTGAGCTGCTTGTTCTCTTTTCAATGTGAAGAGTCTTCCAAGATCTGCTTTTCCTGGGCCTCTCAGAAAAGCTTGAAATATCTTGGGTGTCTCTTTTTTTGATGGGAAGAGACAGGCGAGTCCTTTTCTTGGAGGGGTTATCTCTGTGGCCTTACCCTTCTGCTTTAAAAGCACCCTGGGGACAGGAGAGAAACATTGCTTTGGGTAGCTCTTGGAGAATTTCTATAACATCTACAAGAAAAAAAAAGGTAATTTCTCTTTCTTGCGAATGTTCAATGGATACTGCATTGGGTTGTGTTTAAGAATATTTTATGTGACCGTCTGACTGCAGTCATAACACACCCATCCTTACCTTCGATTCTAAAGAGTAAAGCTCCCTTTGTCTATATCGAATGGAGTTTTCAAGTCTGTACCTGGCTTTCTTCATGAGGAGCTTTTTGGAATCTGGATAATGCTGCAGAATTTCTTGGAGGGTCTTTTTGTCTAGCGTTAAAAGGTTGGCAAATCCATGGGCCACCACATCAGCAGTTCTACGGCTTCCCCCTCCTGTTGCCAGAAGGCTACAAGAGAGAAAAGCAAGTCTTGGCCATCCGTTTCATTCCTTTACGGAGACATTTTAACAAAAATGAATAGCAAATGTTATATTTCCACTCAGCATATTTGTTCTTCATAACATAGGCCTCATGTTCAATGGGAAATGGTTGTTCCACTTGAGGAAAAACATGTTCCCCACCGTAGACCCTGAAGCCTGTCCTATCTAAGAGTAATGGGAAGCTAAGTATGTCTAGTAAAGGTCACAGCACAGGGACATATTGTGCAAAGACTGAGACTCATTAACACTTCAGTTTTTTCCCCTCCCCTACACTTTGCTTCCACACCAATAGGAAGGATGACCATGGATTATAGCAGCAGTTACAATATGCAAATGCTCCTGGAGGAGGAATACCTAAGGAAGTGACGTCATCGGGGGGAGACAAAAACCATGACACAAGAGGCTGTAGATATGGCAAACAGTTCACACACTTTAACTATTAGTCAGATAATCTAAAACTTCTAGGTCTGTTTATCTCAGATCCTATCATCTGTAACATCATGTTGCGCTGTCAACCATTACCAGGAATGCTAAGATGCACAAAAAAGAAACAGCCTGAAGAGACATAGTATGGGTTAGAAACAGACTGAAGTAAGACAACATTTGGAATAAGAATTCCAATTAAAAATTAAGTGTGCTAGGTGTAACAGTGCACATCTGGTAATCCAAGCTGCTTAGAAGATGAAGGTAGGAGAATCTTGGTCTGAAGTCAGCCCATGCAAAAGCATGAGATCCTATCTGCAAAGCAAACTGAAAGCAAAAGGAGTGAGTGTGTGAATCAAATGGTAGAGTGTGGGGCTGGGAAGGTGGCTCAGTGGAAGAGCGCTTGCCTTGCATGCATGAGGCCCTGGGTTCGATTCCTTAGTACCACATAAGCAGAAAAAAAAAAGCCAGAAGTGGCGCTGTGGCTCAAGTGGTAGAGTGCTAGCCTTGAGCTGAAGAGCTGAGGGACAGCGCTCAGGCCCAGAATTCAGGCCCCATGACTGGACCCCCCCCAAAAAAATGGTATAGTGCTTGCCTAGCAAACACAAGGCTCTGAGTTCAATCCCCAGTACTGTCAGAAACATAAACAAAAATAACTACAATTAATCTGTTAAGAAAAAACCAAAAATGCTTAAATAGGGAAACAGGTTGACTCATTGTAACAATGAGATGTATAAGACACTATGTTGAAAATGAACTTTACAACTTGGGCAGGTGGTGGGGGCAGAGTAGTTGGGGAGGTGAGAGGGAAGGGATGGTAGGGGAAAAACAAAGGAGGAGGCAACAATGCTCGATAAAAAATGTACTCATTACCTTACTCATGTAACTGTCACCCCCTGTACAGTATTTTTATAATTTAAAAAAGTATATAAAAAAGAGAATTACAGAAAAGAAATCTAATGGAAAAAGTAGATTAGTCATTATGCAAGAGCCCATGACAAATATAAACAGAGATGGAATTCTAAAAAAAAAAAGACAAAAAAGAAATGTTAGAAGTAAATGACACTAAATAGAAATGAAAAATGTCTTTAATGTAACCATCAGTAGACTGACCCAGAAAGGACTCAGCTAGCTTGAAGATAGGTCAACAGAAACTATCCAGAGGATAAAATGGAGAGAAATAAACAGAACTGAACATTAAGAACTATACTATAATATTAAAAGCCAAACTTCTTGCAAGTAGAATAGCAGAAGGAGAAGGAAAACAGAATGCAATACATCTTTGAAGCAGTAAGGGCCTAAAACTTTCTAAAACTAATGTCAGATACCAAACTCTGGAAGCAGGAGACTGGGGAACACTAATCAGGAGAAATATAAAAGCAAACCAAAACTCCAAGCTATTCCTAAGCATATATTCAAGCACAAGAAACTAAACTAAAACAAAATATTTTCAAGGAGCTAGGGGGAAGATGGTGGATACCTAACATATACAGAAACAGGGATAAGAATTATAGTGGATTGTTAATCAGAAATCATGCAAGCCAGAGAGTGGAGTGAAAGATTTTATATGGTTGGAAACAAGCCACTAAAAATTCTTTATCACTGAACACATTCTTTAAAGGTAAAGAAGAGTAGCCTGGCACCAGTGGCACATGCCTGTAATCCTAGCTACTCAAGAGGCTGAGATCTGAGGAATTTATCTCCAATAAACTACCCAAAAAAGCTAGAGGTGGTGCTGTGGCTCAAGTGTCAGAGCACTAACCTTGAGCACAAACAGGCTCAGGAATAACACCCAGGCCTTGAGTTCAAACCCCAGGACTGGAAAAAAATCAAGAAAAAAAGTAAAGAAGTATATAATCATTTGAATTTCTTGGATGTTTGTTGTAATATTTACTGTGGCATCTCTGATCTTATTAATTTGAATCTCCTCTCTTCTTTTTTTCATTAATCTTGCAAGTGGTTTGTCAATTTTATTAATTTTTCAAAAAAACATTTTGGTTCATTGATTTTATGTATAGTTTATTTTCTATTTCTATTTCAAAACCTATACTCACAAAAGAAGGAAAGCTGAGCAGAAATGAAGTTTTAGATACATAAAAACTGCCTAAATGGAACCAAGAAAATATAAACCTTCTAAACAATCCAATAACATGAAATAAGACAGAGGAAGTAATCAGAAGTCTTCCATCAGGGAAAAGACCTGGCCCAGATGGATTCACCACTGAATTATATAGGACTTTTAAAGATGAGCTAATACCAATACTTCTCAAGCTTTTCTGTAAAATAGAAAAAGGGAGAGCAATTCCGACTCATTTTATGTAGCCAATATCACACTCATCCTCAAACCAGATAAGGATCCAATGAAGAAAGAGAACTATAGACCAATTTCTTTGATGAACACAGATGCAAAGTTATTCAATAAAAGCCAACAGAATCCAGAAACAAATAACAAAATCACACATTATGACCAAGTAGGCTTCATCCCACAGATGCCAGTCTGGTTTAACATATACAAATCAATAAATGTAATTCACTACATCAACAGAGCCAAGGACAAGAACAACATGACCATCTCAATAGATGAAGAAAAAGCCTTCAACAAAAATACAACATCCATTCATATTAAAAGCTTTGGAGAAATTAGGAACTGAAGGATCATTCCTTAAAACAATAAAGGCTATATATGACAGACCAACAGCTAACTTCATACTAAATGGGGAAAACTAAAACCATTTCAGGAACAAGGCAAAGATGCCCACTCTCTCCACTCCCCTTTCAATATATTCTGGAATTCTTTTTGTTGTTGTTGTTGTTGGTTGTGGGGCTTGAACTCTGGGCCTAAGTACTGTCCTTGATGAGCTTTTTAGCTCAAGGCTAGCTAATGCCCTACCACCTGAGCCACAGTGCCACTTCTGGTTTTCTGGTGGTTAATTGGATATAAGAATCTTTTTTTTTTTTTTTGGTGAATTAACACTTTTTTTTAAAATTTTTATTTTTTTATTGTGAAAATACCGTACAAAGGGGTTACAATTAAATGGGCAAGATAATGAGTACATTTCTTATCAAGCATTGTAGCCTCCTCCTTTGGATATAAGAATCTTACAGGGACTTTTATACCTGGGCTGGCTTTGAACTGTAATCCTCAGATCGCAGCCTCCTGAGTAGATAGTATTACAGGAGTGAGCCACTGGCACCTGGCACTATCTGGACAAGTAAAGGACATTAAAGGATTCACATAGGGAAATAAGAAATTACACTATCCTTATTTAAAAAAGTAAAGGAAAAACAAAGACTTCTCACAATAACAAAAACAGGAAATCATTTGTTACGAGATCAGCATGCATGAAACATTAAAAAAATTCTTCAGAGAGAAAGGCAATGTTATAGATTAGAAACTGACTTCTCTATCAAGAAAGAACATTGGAGAAGGAAGAGATGAAAGTGAGATAAAATATTTTATTTTTCTTATCTTTTTTCTTGTTTGAATTACATTTACTTTTTCCAATAAACATTTATTCTTACTTTTGAATTAACATTTGAGTGGATTTCTTTATGACATTTTTATGCATGAAAATAATGTATTTTGATCAAATTCATCCTTTTCAGCAAATTCTCTTGTATTCGTTTCTTATTTTAGCCTCTTCCTCTTTTTTCTTATTCTTTGTTATTCTCAGTTTAAATAAAAGCTAATTGTTTAGCCAAGTCCATAATCCTACTTACTCAAGAGGCTTAGGTCTAAGGATTACAATTTGAAAACAGCCTGGGCAAGTAAATCCATGGGATTCTTATCTCCAATTAACCACCAAGAAAGCTGGAAGTGGAGCTGTGGTTCAAGTGGTAGAGTACTAGCTTTTAACATTAAAGGTCAGGGATAATACTCAGGTGCTGAGTTCAAGCCGCAGGACTAGTGCACGCATACACACTCACACGACTAGTGCACGCATACACACTCACACACACAGACACACTAATTTTTTAAATACTATGTATTTGGTCATGTATTTGGTAATAAAGCATATGATTAAATGCAATGAGTGAAAAGTGTCATAAGAGCTAAGGGAAGAGAATGAGATGAAGCTCTACATGAGAAATTTTTTTGGGAGGGGTTGGTCATGAGGCTTAAACTCTGGGCGTGGGTGTTATCCCTCAGCTCTTTAGCTCAAGGCTAGTGCTCTACCACTTGAGCCACAAGGCCACTTCAGGTTTTCTGGTGGTTTATTGGAGATAAATCTCATGGACTTTCCTGCTTGGGCTGGCTTTGAACTGTGGTCCTCAGATCTCAGCCTCCTAAGTAGCTAGGATTACAGGCATGAGCTAAGGGCTCCCAGTTGAAGTGCTATAGTTTTATGTGTACATAGACAAGTTGCTTTAAAATGCATATTTAAAACTTTAGGGCAACATTAAATCTTTCTGTTTATGTTTTTGACATGGTCTTCCAAGTTAACCACAAACTTGGAATCCTCCTGCCTCCACCTCCATATCATAGGATTATAGCATAAACTACAGTATTGGCAAATGAGAGTTTTTAATCCTGACCAATCTTCT